GTACTTGAAATACGCCTTTTACAAAGGTGAGGGTGACGGGGTGGATATAGGGGTGGGGGGTAAAATACAACAAAAATCGAAATTATATAAAATACATATAAGTCTACATTTAACATTTGGAACCTCTAGCTTCAAAGGTGTAGGAGATATAATTAAATAACTAGCTTTCGATAAGGTTTTTAATCGATAATAAAATATCGGGAGTAGTTATCGATATATAAAGAAAAACTTGATACCTAGGAAAAAATTTCAAGTCTCTAGCTCTTATATCTTCTGAGATCGACGCGTTCATACATACGGACGGACGGACGGACAGACAGACGAACAAAATCAACTCAGCTCGTCGCCCTGATCAAGAATATATATACTTTGTGGGGTCTGTCACGCCTCCTTCTGCCTTTTACATACTTTTAACAAAACCATTATACCCTGATTTCCCATTATCAATGGGTTCAGGGTATAAAAAAACATAACACAAATTAGTGCCTTGTTAGTGGTGCGGAAAAGTAATGAGTCGACGCGTTTGGGAGGCAGTGGACGACGGTGCTGGCATGAAGGACTCTGAGCATTATACGCCAGGGCCTGGAATGCAAGCCGCCGGCCTACTGCCTTCCCTGACTCGGGGACTCGTGTCTCGCCGTAGCCTTCCGGGACTGCACAACCTGGTTATGAGCATTATACGCCAAAGCCGGGTTGCGGCGGCCTCCGGTTTGGGTACGCGTCGAGAGAGGGATTGCCACGTGTGTCGCCGTGTAGAAAGTGGCCAACGTCAGGGTTCGGTGCAGCGAAATCGCGCCGAAGGCTCTGAGCATTATACGCCAGAGTCTGACGCAAGACACTGTCTGCACCCAGATATCTCTACGCGATCTGGCGGGCGTTGTACGAACTGGCTCTGAGCATTATACGCCAGGGCCGGATTGCGACAATGGCCAGTCTGATTACATGTCGAGAGTGGAGGTATAAAATGTGTTGTCGTGAACGAGGTTGGCCAATTCGGGGTTCGGTGTAGCGGAATCGCGCCGAAGGCTCTGAGCATTATACGCCAGAGTCTGACGTAAGACACCGCCGGCACCCAGAGATCTCTACGTGATCTGGCGGGCGTTGTGCGAACTGGCTCTGAGCATTATACGCCAGGGCCGCATCGTGGCCATCAATCCGTTTGGCTGTGGACGAGAACGGGGTGGTGTTGCGTAGTTTCGTGGGCAAGCCGTGTGGCTGGAAGCAATCTAGGCTGGGGTTAGCTGTCGAGACAACCGGCCATGGCACATAGTGGGTCATGGTGGCCATAGTTCTCCCGTTTCTGAGCGTTATACGCCAGAGAGGGACTGTAGTTTGCTTCCGTCCTCCAAGTTGTCGAGTTTTCAAGTTTCGAGTTTTCACGTTTTCAAGCTTTCAAGTTTATGGTGCCCCAATCACGGAAAGATCGGCCATTTCGGCCCACTATCCACTCTCCTTTATCTGGTCTCGGCAATTTACAAATATTCTTATAAATGAACCTGGGGGTTTATAGCCTTTCCGTTTCGACCACGCGATTTTTAGGCGTTTTACTAAAGAACTGTTCATATTTTCTACTTCGCCATTCGCCTGTGGCCAATATGGCGGAGTCGTTATTTGGGTAATACCGTTGTTACGGCAAAAATCTTGAAATTCGAGACTTACAAATTGCTGACCGTAGTCGGCTCTCAGCGTTCGTGGTATTCCCAAACGAGAAAATATCTCCTGCATTTGTTCGATCAATACTTTCGAAGAGATAGTTTTAATAAATTTAAATTCCATGTATCTGGAAAGGTAGTCGATTAACACCAGTACATGGTCGTTGCTTGGCAAAGGGCCCAGTATGTCGGATGCGACACATTGCCAAGGGCCAGCTGGGAACTTATGTCGATCCATGGGTGCTGGTTTATTCGCTAACGATACGGAGATGCAATCTCTACAGGCCTTGTCAAAACTTTCTGCTTCTCGGTCGATCCTTGGCCACCACACCTATGACCGTAGTCTCCGTTTCATAGCAGATTCGCCCGGATGACTCTCGTGGGCTAGCTCGAGCACTTGAGATCGTAGCATTGTTGGTATGACTATTTTGGTTCCGCGTAAAAGTACATTGCCAACTGTCGATAACTCCCATAGGAATGGATAATATGGACTGGATGCGTTTGCCTCCCATGAGTTGGTGCTAAGGCAATTATTTCCTCGTCCTGCATACTTTTGTCCATGATTTCCGATATGGTTAGCGACTTTGTTACCCCTTTTTCTACAATTTGAAAGATATTCTGCACATCTTGCCAATCAAAAGCTTCCGCTTTAGTTATTTGGCAAAGACGCGACACGGAATCTGCGATATTTTCTTTTCCGGCTTTATAAATGACTCGAAATCGGTAAGACTGCAGACGTAGCAACCAGCGTTCGATTCGTACCGGTGGTTTCGAAGTTGGTTTGAAGATAGATTCCAAAGGCTTATGGTCTGTTATCAGATCAAGTTCCAGTCCCGCTAAGTAGTAGTAGAACTTCTCCACTGCCCACACTAGTCCCAAACTTTCTTTCTCCATTTGTGAATATCTTTTCTTCACGTCAGTTAGGCTTTTACTGGCGAACTAGAACAGCTCCCAATGCCACAGGGCTTACATCGGCTATGTGACACGTACGAAAATTTTTATTAAAATATGACAGATTTGTTACCTCGACGACTTGCTTCTTCAAGATATCGAAAGCTCGTTGTTCCTTGTCGCTCCATTCGAATGTGGTGTTTGCCTTTATTAATCTTCTCAATGGCTCAGTCGTGTTGGCTAGATCCGGTATTAATATCCCAACGTATGTTACGAGGCCTAGAAAATTTCTTGTCTCCTCTTTCGGGGCCCGAAAGCCTGCGATCACCTTGACCATCTCTGGATCCGCTTTAATACCATGGTCCGACAGAATGTGACCTAGGAATTTGAGTTTATTAGTTTTATACACACATTTCTGTTCATTCAGCACCACGTTGTGGGCATCAAAGATTTTCAGAACTGCTTTTAGCGCCTTGTCGTGCTCCTCTTCGTTTTTGCCAAAAACGATGACATCGTCAATATAGTTAAGAGCATTTGAACAGCCGCTAGCAATTCTTCCAGCCGCCTCTGGAATATTTCTGGGGCCGAGTTAACCCCAAAGAATAATCTTTTGTAACGAAATAGTCCCTTGTGTGTAATAAATGTAGTGATCTGCCGACTCGATTCGTCGAGCTCCAATTGGTGATAGGCATTTCTCAGATCCAGCCTAGAAAAGTATTTTGCCTCTCGAAGCTTGGTCATAAACATGTCGAATGTTGGCAGTGGGTGATTCTCTCTTGAGATGGCTAGATTCGCTCTTCGCATATCCAGACATAGCCTTATTTCTCCGTTCCCTTTAAATGCAACTACCACTGGCGAAATCCATGGGCTCGGTCCACGAACTGGTTCTATGATATCTTGCTGCACCGCCTGGTTTATCCTTTCTGCGATTTGGTCTTCTAGCGCAGTCGGGAATTTGCGCATTGGCTGCTGCACTGGTCGCACATTGTGGTCAATGGCCAGTCTCACAGGTGAAGCTTTCCATTTGGGAAAATGTGTGTGAGCCTCCACTCTATTTACGTTTAAGCCAAGTTTTAGGACGTTGAGTTGCACGGCTGTGTCTCGACCCGGTAACGATTGTCTTCCATTTTCGATTACATAAAATGTATCAATCATCTCTGGTCTTTCTTGAACTCTAACACGTTAACTCAAACAGAAACACGTTAACCACTCTCAGCGTCTCGTCCGACTCATAAGCTTTGAACTGGGTAGCCGAAGTTGTGCGAATATCAAACACCGTCGCATGTCCACGATCCAATCGCAGCCAATCGCCGCGGCTTATCAGGTTGTACCGCGATCTGGAGTCAATGATCATTTGCAGCTGGGATCCCCCAACTAGGCATGACACGGTTTCATCTCCTCCTGGTTCGCTAATTACTTTGACCAGTTTGACCAACCCTGGCCGCCCTGACTTTTAGTCTCTTCCTCATCGATGGCGTGCACGTGGGACAGCGAGGTTCGCGATCGCTTGCGTTGATACTCATATGGTGTGCTACGCTGCCTCTTTACTGTGGTTTTGCACATACGAGCATAATGTCCGAACCGGGAACACTTATTACATTTCGATTTCCTTGCCAGGCATGCCATACACATACTTTGTCTTGTCTCCTTGACTGAATCGCGATTTTCTATCTCCTGGATTTCAATCTTGGTTGTTCCGAACGAGCACTTACTTGTTGTCTTGTTGTCTTAGCCGCAACAAGAACTCGGTGAAGCACTCACCTTGACGAGGCGTCATGCTGCGAAACATGTGTCTCTCGAAAACTGCGTTACGTTGCGGTGAAAAGTATTCACTCAATTTATCCACCAGTGGAGTAAATACGTCATTTCCGATGTTCGCATCGTATGGCACCAACGCGCCTAGCAGACTGTACACTACCTCTTGCAGCTGTGGTCCCCTAGATGAAGTAATTTGTTTCGCTTTTTGACTACTGACGAAATTTCTTATGTGTCTTCATAGATGTTAAATGACCGTAGCCACTTTTCCCACTCGTTGCGCCACAACGATTTTTCTGTGCTCGCGCACAGAAATGGTTTAATTTCCGCCATTCTACCGATCTGCTTTAGCTTGCACTTTTTTTTCTTAAATATATGTATAGATATATACTTTTAGATTTTTAGATGATTTATTTGGCTTGCACTTTTTGTGCCCAGTGTATGTGCGTGCGTGTGTATGTATGTGTGTCGAAAAGAAGTGCAGACTGATTAAAATATCAGATTAGAGGGTTCAGGGTATCTCCTAGTCGAGCAGTCTCGACTAGAGTCTTCTTACTTGTTTCATTTTAAATGAAAACAATAATAATTTGAGCACTTGTAACAGAAGTAAATTTTTTGTGCCAATTTTTATACATACCTAGAAGCTTCAACAGATCAGCTGACTTTAAGGCGTTCCCACAAAGTAAGAATTTACCCCAAAAATTCACAACAAATGTTTTCATCTAATTGGAGTGTTAACAACTTAGGAATAACAAATTTTTCTTAATATAAATATTATTCACCATAAATTTTTGGACTTTATGCCGCCTATCACGGAAAATCGCCCATTGTGGTAAACTTGGCCTTTGATTTTGAATGTGGAATTAAATTGTTGACCATTTGCAGCAGTATTATTAACTATTTCCGTTGATCCAAACGATGTCATTTGAAAGCATGAAATTAATTTTCGAATTGACTGCAAGAATAGCGAAGAATCTGGATCAGAACCAATAAGGAAGCCGTGCAGTGGCTCCGGCGGTGTTTCAATTTCTGAGAGTATTACCTTTCCTGATGAGCAATATATCCCAATCAGCTCATTTTTTAATGTAAAGGCATGGCAGTGCGGGCATTCCTCGTCCAATGACCACTTTGGAATGAGCGTCATATTCAACATCAGGCTCATAGTGAAATGCTAGGTGAAGAAATGAATGTGCTGTAAATGCTCGATTTACTTGTTGACGTTGTCGGTCAATTCCTCTACGGCTGTTGACTACGAATCTGTGCGCTTCCCTTCTTTCTAATTGTCTTTGCTGGTTCCAGTCATCTCGTGTCTCTTGCAATTGTGATGCACGTAACTGCTCCATGCTCAAACGGACATCTGCATTGATTTGTTCCCTTTCTTCATCTGATCTTTGTGCTCTTCTATCTTGCATGTCTCTAGATTTGAGTGTTCGACGACTCAAATTGTTGTCTGCTAATCAAACATAAATTAATCAAGTTGAAAAACTGTTTGGTGATAAGCAGTAAAGTAATATTGTATTTGATTGCTCATTATTTGCCTTACCTCTTATACTAATAAAACATGTATATTTATTAATCACGTTCGCGTATTAATAATATGTGCTTGAATAATTTTTTTACATGAGAGCATGACCGAAAACTGTCACTGTTATCAAGCCTACTGAGTAAATTCTCAATGACAATGCAAAGATCCTCAATATTTTTATACCCTGAACCCATTTTCAATGGGAAATCAGGGTATAATGGTTTTGTTGAAATGTATGTAACAGGGAGAAGGAGGCGTGGCAGACCCCACAAAGTATATATATTCTTGATCAGGGCGACGAGCTGAGTTGATTTGGCCCTGTCCGTCTGTCTGTCTGTCCGTCTGTCCGTCCGTTCGTCTGTCCGTATGTTTGAACGCGTCGATTTCCGAAGATATAGGAGCTAGAGACTTCATTTTTTTTTTAAATGTTCGTAATTACAGCGCGGATATCGAGTTTATCATTAAAAATCGATAACTCATCCCGATCTTTTTTTATCGATAAAAACTTATCGAAAACCAGTTATAAAATTATATATCCTACACCTTTATTGCTAGGGTCTCCAAATTTTTAATGTATGCTTATATGCAATTTATACAATTTAGGTTTTTGTTAAAATTCACCCTTCACCCCTATATTCACCCCCTCACCCTCACATTTGTGCTTTGGCAAATACATGCATATCCATGTTATAATCATAATCTGAAAGTTTCATTAAGGAAGTACATCCACAAGAAAAGTTATTAAACAATTAAGCTCCCATAGTAAGCCACCACTACAGCCAATGCGTGTTTATGCGTACGTATGTCTGTGTGTGTGCATGTATGTGTGCATATGCGAATAATTATTGATATATCAGTTGCTAGAAGCAGTGTTTGAAAAGCTGACAGTCACAGCAGCAACAGTCGTCAAATTTTGTCTGTGCTGTGCTTCTGCAGCCAACAGTTTCCGCAGTTCCGTTATTGCTTGAACTGTTGCTGCGAGCATTTTCGACAGTCGCAGTCGCAGCAAAAGCAAAAAACAATTCTTGATCAGCAGCGCAGCGCTTCGAACTGCGTTCACTGGCGACAGTCGCAGTCGCAGCTAGAGAAAAACTGTCGACTGCCGAACAGCACAGCAGACAGCTTCCACAGTTTTTGCTTTGTGCGTCATGAACGAAATGAATGAAAATTAACAACATTTTAATTATTTATTTATAATGGCGATTATTTATTTTTTTATTCGTCATCTTCTTGGAAGAGCGTCACAAATTGGGTTTAAAATATTTCGCATATTATCAGAATTTAATACATTGAACGAGTCCAACAAGGTCATACCTTATTAGTTGCTTTTTGTTCATTTCAAATTTAATTTTTTTTCGTATAATTTTAGACGACGAACAAATAGAAGAGTTTTCCGACAGTTCGGAAGGAGGAGTCGTTTTCAAATGATGTACATTGACAACATGAGCTTTTAAATTTGAAATTCGATTGGTTTTAAGTTTGCTTTTGCATGTTTTACATGTAGCAAAGTCCCATTCCTCATTGGTATCAAAATACTTCCAGACATCACATTGTTTATTACGCGACATTTTTGCTGTTGCTCGGATGCACATTAATACAAGACTACGCCTACGATCTGTTTCATTGCTACAAAGTATGCCGCAAGTGACTTCGGCAATTACAGTTACAAAAGTTACCAAAACAAAGCAAAGCAAAAACTGTGGAAGCTGTCTGCTGTGCTGTTCGGCAGTCGACAGTTTTTCTCTAGCTGCGACTGCGACTGTCGCCAGTGAACGCAGTTCGAAGCGCTGCGCTGCTGATCAAGAATTGTTTTTTGCTTTTGCTGCGACTGCGACTGTCGAAAATGCTCGAAGCAACAGTTCTAGCATTCTCAAAACTGCCGAAGCTGTCGATTCCCGAAGCGCTGCGCTGCTGATCAAGAAATGTTTTTGCTTTTGCTGCGACTGCGACTGTCGAAAATGCTCGCAGCAACAGTTCAAGTAATAACAGAGCTGCGAAAACTGTTCGCAGCTTTTTAAACACTGGCTAGAAGGGTTCAAGGGATCTCGTAGTCGAGCAGTCTCGACTAGAGCTTTCTTACTTGTTTTGTTATGTTTTTTTCTGTTTGTCATAAAGTTTGTCAAATTTTTAACGTAGTTGAAAATATTGGGTCCGATGTTCCATGTTTTGAGTTGGTCGAGTATCGTGTGTAGTCCTATTTTATCAAATGCTTTTGTGAAGTCAAGGGAGACGATTGATGCGTGTTTTCTTTTTGAGAGCGTTCTACATATGAGATGGTCTAGAAAGAGTAGACTATCTACAGTAGATTTGCCTTTTTTGAAACCGACTTGACTGTTGTATATAAGTTTGCTGCTGTTGACAAACCACCACAGTCTTTTTGCAACAATTTTATCAAGAACTTTAGATAAGCAGGAGTTTAATGAAATTGGTCGGTAAAAGCTTAATTCGGATTTTGGTGGGGATGGTTTAAGTATTGGGATAATTATGCTGGTTTTGTACCCTTGTGGGATACAATTTTTATACACTGAACCCATTTTCAATGGGAAATCAGGGTATAATGGTTTTGTTGAAATGTTTGTAACAGGAAGAAGGAGGCGTGGCAGACCCCACAAAGTATATATATTCTTGATCAGGGCGACGAGCTGAGTCGATTTGGCCCTGTCCGTCTGTCTGTCCGTCTGTCCGTATGTATGAACGCGTCGATTTCAGAAGATTAAGAGCTAAAGAATTGAAATTTTGTTTCCAAGGTCCGTGTATATCACGCGCATATCGAGTTTTTCTCTATATATCGATAACAACTTCCGATATTTTATTATCGGTCAAAAACCTTATTGAAAGCTAGTTATTTAATTATATCTCCTACACCTTTAGAGCTAGAGCTTGCAAATTTTAAATGTGGACTCATATGTATTTTATATAATTTTGATTTTTGTTGTATTTTACCCCCCACCCCTATATCCACCCCGTCACCCTCACCTTTGTAAAAGGCGTATTTCAAGTACTAGAGACGTGTGCTTTGGAATGTACATACATCTTTCCACATAATTACGCTCTGAAAGTTTAATTAAGATTGTACGTCTAGAAATTAAATTATTCAACAAATAAATTCTTATAATGTTGCCCACACTGCAGCAGTGCATTTTGAAAATAGTGGCCAGTTTGCGCTGTGAGTTTTGAATCGTGGTCTGTAATTGGGTTTGTCGGTGGGGTTTGACATGAATAGTTTAATAATTATGGGCGAGTGATCGCTACCGTGGAGGTCTTCTGACACTTCTCAGCTACTTTCGAGCTTTAGTTCGGTGGAGCAGAGGGTGAGGTCTAGGTGAGTGAGTATGTCGTGTGTACTGAGGTGTGTTGGGGTGCCGTCATTGAGAAGGATAAGGTTGGAGGAAGTTATAAAATTGGCTAGCGTTTTGCCTCTTTTGTGGTTGGTCTTTGAACCCCACATTTAGTGCCAGCTGTTGAAGTCACCAGTTATTATTTTTGGCTTATTTGTGTTTTGAAGGAAAAGTTCTAGTTGGGATGTGGTAAATTTTGTTTAGGGCGGTATGTAGCACGAGATTATTTTGAATGGGGTTTTAAATAGGATTTCAACTTCGATAGAGTCAAAATCTTGATTATGTGGGATTACTTTGTGTTCTAGACTATTGTGAAGGAGTAGAGCTACGCCTCCGGAAGCGATCGTTAATGTGTTCTTGGTGTAGATGGTGTAGTTGATTGGGGTAGAGATTGTTGAGGTGGTTTTAAAATGAGTTTCTTGAAGGCTTAATATTTGTGGGGAGAATATTTTAATTAATAGTTGTAACTGATCGTAGTTGTTGAGGTATCCGTGATGTCCATTGGGCGCCCGCACCTCAGCCCGCAACAGTATGCCAGGATAGAAGATATTATTAGAAGTTATTCTAAGATGTCTTCAGTAATCATGTCGGAATCGTTATCTATACTGGTTGAATTGTGTATAGACTTATTGTAATTTTTTTTGGGGTTTTAGGTTTGAGGGTAGTTGCTAGTGTTGGTGTTCACGCATGAGCATATGAATATACGAAGATCGTATACATGCCTCCGACGCACTCTACGACTAGCAGGTAGTGCGCTGGGAAAAGAAAGGGTCACATGTACAGACTCTATAAATAGATAAATGGACACCAACCCTTGCAACTCCAGAGTCAGATATGTAAGAGACGAACGCTGAGCCTTACAACCTCAGCGATAGGATAAGAATAGCTAATAGACCCACGCGGAGCCTTACAAACTCTGCGATAAGATACGAATATGTAATAGACCAATGCTGAGCCTTACACACTCAGCAATAGACGCATTAGATTTAAGGGTTGAAATTATGCATGAGTCTGGGTATATAAACCCAGGCTCAGAAGAATAAAGATTAATACGCAACTAAACACCATCATAGTCAAATGTATCCGTTCAGTTGGGATATTGTTTTTTTTATTTTTTTTTATTTTTATTTTATTTTTTTTTAATTCTAATTCTAGATTTGTTGATAATTGAGATGGTGTGTTTAATTTTGTGGCTTGAGTTTTTGTTGATGTTGAGGCGCTTAAGTTGATGTCTTCTTCGTATTGTACGAGTTTTCTTTTGGGTTGCTGCGCATGGTTTTGTTGGGATGGTAATTTAGCTGTTGCGGCGTAAGATGATTGTGGGAGTCTGTGTCTTTCATTGTATATTTGTAGAGCTTCTTTAATTGTTGTCTTTTCGATTGTACGTATGGCTTGAATTTTTATACCCTGAACCCATTTTCAATGGGAAATCAGGGTATAATGGTTTTGTTGAAATGTATGTAACAGGGAGAAGGAGGCGTGGCAGACCCCACAAAGTATATATATTCTTGATCAGGGTGACGAGCTGAGTTGATTTGGCCCTGTCCGTCTGTCTGTCCGTCTGTCCGTCTGTCCGTATGTATGAACGCGTCGATTTCAGAAGATATAAGAGCTAGAGACTTCAAATTTTTTTTAAAATGTCCGTAATTACAGCGCGCATATCAAGTTTATCATTAAAAATCGATAACTCATCTCGATCTTTTTTTATCGATAAAAAACCTTATCGAAACCCAGTTATAAAATTATATCTTCTACACCTTTATTGCTAGAGACTCCAAATTTTTAATGTATGCCTATATGCAATTTATAC